TTGGATTTGATTATTTACTTGTGTGTGTGTGTGGTGTGTACGAGTGAGCATGTGCATATGTGCACACACAACTATACCACAGCACACATGTGGAAGTCCAAGAGATTAGTTCATTCTTTCCTTCCATCCTGTGGGTCCCAGGGATGGGACCGAGGCTGTCAGCGGCTTCACCCACTGAATCATCTTACAGATCTTTCATTTCTTTCAGTGATAACAAAAAGATTGTCGTTAATTACCGAAGCCTGCTGTGTGGCTCTAGTGAGGGGCTTTGGGGGGCAGTGTTCCCCTATCCTACCCCTCCCCACAGGGGTCAGGAGAGGAATTCTGACCAGCCCCTCCTCGCTCTGAGAAGATGGTTTTGTCCATTGTTGGCAGCTTTAAGCCAGAGGCCCTGAAGTAACTCTGGGTTTCATGGTAAAGCTAAATCCCACCCCTCCTCCACCCCGATTCCCCACCCTCCAATCCCTCTCCCTGGGAGACCCCATCTGTTCTCTCTGTTGATATCACCCTCAAGGGACTGAGAGCCCCTTCCTGTCTCCCCATCGAGACAAGAGCATGACAACCCAGCGAGGCCAGGAACTCTTTGTCCCTTGTTCAACACTGAAGAGTCAGCCAGTAGGATGCTGCTCTCTGCCTCCCTAATATACTATAATAACAAACATAATAGCAAGCACACACACACACACACACACACATACACACAGCACACGTACACACATGCACGGATGCACATATAGACACACACAAACACACACGCACACACATGCACACACACGCGCACACACATGCACAGCACACATACATACACAGCACACACACACACAAACACACATGCACACATACACACACATGCACACTCAAGTTTTTTTGTTGTTATTGTTTTTTGAAACAGGCTTTCTTTGTGTAGCTTTGGCTGTCCTGAAATTCACTCTATAGACCAAGCTGTCCTGGAACCCACTCTATATAGGCTGGTCTCGAACTCACAGAGATCTGCCTGCCTGTGCCTCCCAAGTGTTGGGTGTGTTCCACCACAGCCCAGCTTGAGTTACCTTCTGGAGGAAACGCAGTAGGATCTTTTGGTTGGCTGGTTTTGAGATAGGGTCTTATGCTAAGTAGTCCAACCTGGCCTGGAACTCACAGTACCCCAGGCTGCACTAAACCCAAGCTAACCTTCCTCTCTAGGCATCTTCCAGTCTTGGCTTCTTGAGGGTTGGGATTAGAGGTGTGAGCCACCCTAAACAGTTGGAGACAGAGTCTCCCTTAGTAGCTGGATATGTAGTTGGCCTCAAACTGAAGGTGATCCTCTATTTCTGTCTCCCAAGTACTGGGATTACAGGCATACACTACCACATGGATTAGGGTTTTACACGCATATGTATGTGCATGTGTGCAGATGTGTATGTGCGCGTGCTGTGGTCGCCAGGAGTCATCCTCGGGTGCCATTCCTTAGGAGCTGTCCATCTTGGCTGCTGAGCTGGGCTGGGCAGCCAATGAGCCCCATCCTGTTACCACAGCTCTGGGGATCGAGCCAAACACTTCACCAGCTGGGCCACTTCCTCAACTCCTTTCATTTGACATTTTAACAAAGTCAGGACAGCTTTCCTCTCTCCAGTGGGAGAGGCCACTCAGGTCTGGAGAAAATGGGGCCCCTGTGGGGACTAAAATAACCCCCTTAGGTCCCCACAGCAGGGATCAGAAGCAGGCCATGGGCAGGGTGCTTGGTGTAGACTTGGTTGGGAAACTCTAAGACTAGAGTCATCAGTTCCTCACCAGAGAGATCTAGCCAGCGCTGGGCAGGACTACCCTATCTCAAGGCTTCCTCAAGGCCAGGCCTGCATGGAGAACTGGGGGTGCCTAAGGCTGGAGTCTGCTGTCAAGCCCCCAGAGGAGACTGTAAGCCATCTGAGATGCCTTCTGAACTCTGACAGATCTGGAGGGACCCATGAGGGCCACAAAAGCTTCTCTACTATTCTTTCCTACAGTGGCTCAATAGGAGTTATAGCTCAGTGGCAGAGGGATGGCCCCAAACCCATGAAGCTACAGGTCAGAGCCAGTACTAAACAAAACCCATCCCAGTGACACACGCCTGCAATCCCAGCACTCAGGAAGTGAGGCGGGAATGTAAGGTAATTTAATTTCATCATCCTTGACTACCAGGCAAGCTGAAGCCCAACCTGAGCTACAGGAGACCCTGTCTTAAAAAAAAAAATTGTGGTAGAGCAGACTGAAGATGGCTCAGGGCTATCTCAGTACTGCCTTGAGAGCACCAGCACGCACACGGTGGCTAACAACTATACAACTCCAGTTCCAGGGATCCAGTGCCTTCTTCTGACCTTCATAGGCAGCGAGCACAGAGTGGCACACAAACACTCATACACATGAAATAAAAACTTAAATAAAATACAAATTAATAAAATAAATATGATTATTAATTAATTAAAAATAAAATAATAAATAAAAGTTTTCTTTCTCTGGAGAGGGAAAATGAACAATCTAGCTTGTGCCGTCAGCTTCTTTGAGACTTTGCCTCAACTTCCCATCTGCAACAGCAGTAGGATTCATACATTCACACACAAAAAAACAGATTTACAAAGCTGGGCAGTGGTGGCACACGCCTTTAATCCCAGCACTTGGGAGGCAGAGGCAGGTGGATTTCTGAGTTCGAGGCCAGCCTGGTCTACAGAGTGAGTTCCAGGACAGCCAGGGCTACACAGAGAAACCCTGTCTCGGAAAACCAAAAAAACAAGAAAAAAAAGAAAAAGAAAAAAAAAAACAAACCAAATCAAAAGAAAACAAAACAAACCACAACAACAGCAAAGCCATATTCATAGGGATTCACCTCAAAGCTGTGGAGTCCCTGACTCAGCTGGAAGAGACAAGGGGGTGGGGTACCCAGCTACAGCTGGCTGTGGGTGCTTCTGCACACCCGCCCGTGTGCATGAGTGTTTGCGGGCTCGGAGATACTTAATGCCGTGTGCTAGCTGGCAGTGCCTCCTTCCCTCCCAAATGTCTGTTGCCTCCAGTTACCTGGGCCCCCACAGCATGGCCTCATTAGCCTGGCCCTTCTTTGATACTTTCTCCTACTCAGGGCCTGTACTTAGGAGAGTCCCCCCTCCTCGGCCCCCGGGTGGCTCTTCTGTCCCCTTTTCTGGATTAGGTCTTTCCTTCCCATCACTATTCATCCGTCCTCCCTTGGACTCCCACCAGACCTTATGCTTCCCATGTAAGACCTGTGCCTCTTCCCTCAGATCCTGGGCTGCCCCCAACAGACGCTGAGCCTCCTCCATCAGACCCTCCCCTCCGGTGCTGCAGGAACCCACGGCCACAGTATGGGACTTCCCCAGTCGTAACTTAGGCTGCGTTTGGGGCTTGTCACGGACAGGGTGTCTTTTCTCCCCAGCGCGGCCCCACCGGAGCCTGAGAATTCGACTCGGTAGGATTCATCTGTCTCTCCGTGTCACTGACATTTTACTGGCTTGGGCCCAGAGCTTCCTCCCTGCCGGAAGCCACTGGACCCTTTGTGGCCATCTGCCCCTGTCAATCTTCCCACATGCCTTCCCTCGGGGGACCGCCAATCACGCTGCGGGGCTCTTCATTTCGTCATCAGCAGCCAATCAGTGTGGCTTTCTAACCGCCTCCACAGTGCCTCGGGCTGCTGGGCCTTGTGTATGCCTTACTGGGCACTCTCCCTATGCCTCAGCATCCCCCTCTGTAAAATGGGTCCCTGGGATATCCCAAAGGGCTCAGCTAAGTACCTAGCAGTTGCGGAGGGAGCACATAGGCGACGGCCACCACCCTCTAGGCTTCAAGCTGCAGACCTCTGGCATACTTCCAAGATCTCAGCTTGCTTGTCAAGGGTGAAGATAGTGAATGGGCTCCCTCTCTCATGATTTATGCATTTTTATGACCACTGATGTTTTTCCTGCAAGTGTGTCTGTGTAAGGGTGTTGGATCCCCTGGAAATGCAGTTACAATTGTAAGCTGCCATGTAGATGCTGGGAATTGAACCTGAGTCCTCTGGAAAAGCGGTTGTGGTTGGTGATTTGAATAAGCTTCGCCCAGGGCGTGGCATTACTAGTAGGCGTGGCTTTGCTGGAGAGAGTGTCACTGTGGGGCTGGGCTTTGAGACTCTCCTCCTAGATGCCTGAGGACAGTCTGCTCCTGGTTTCCTTTGGATGACGATGAAGAACGTTCAGCTCCTCCTGCACCATGCCTGCCTAGACAATGCTGTGCTTCCTTGTCTTGAAAATGGACTGAACCTCTGAACTTGTAAGCCAGCCCCAATTAAATATTGTCCTTCATAAGAGCTGCCTTGGTCATGGTGCCTGTTCACAGCAATGGAAACCGTAACTAAGACAGCAGCCAATGCTCTTCAATAGCTGAGCCATCTCTCCAGCCCCAACTGAGCTAGGCTACCCATGAACCACATTCCACGCCCCCTTCATCTAAAACATCTATTTAGCAAGGTGCCCAGGCTACCCTTGAACTTACTCTTCGACCTAGGAAGTCTAAATCTATGGATCCTCCTGCCTCAGCTGCCTGAGTAACTGGGATGGCAGGCCTGGCTTGTTTCTATTTCTGTGTGTGTGGGCGGCAGGTCTATGTGGGGTGTCTTCCACAACCCATGTCTATCTTACTGAGACAAGGCTGCTCACTCAACCCCAGAGCTCATAGATTAGCCAAGGCTGGGCCACCAGCAAACTCCAAGGATCCTCTTGTCTCGGCACTTCCCAGAAGCCCTAGCTGGGGTGGGTGTACACCGTTGCGCCCAACTTTTCACATGGGTGCTGGGGAATCAAACTGCTCAAGCTTGACAGCAAACAATTTTACCTGCTGAACCCTTTTGCCGGGAGCCCCAAGTGCAGCCATTTCTCAGTCCAGAGTTACTAACGAACGCATATGCTGGAGCCACTAGGGTCCCAGACCTAAACAAGAGCCTGTCAGCTGCCTCCCTCCCAGCCGGTCCTCTGCCGGGCCCCCCATGAGACACACACGGGCCGCAGACTTGGTGTTACTTTATTTTCCAGTTCAAAGCTACTATCATGGGTCTTCAGAGTTATACAAATGACAGTTACAAAAAAATAAAAGACCGAGACACCCAGAGTGAGAAGCATGGTGTTGGGGAGTCGGTGGAATGCGGGTAGTTGGGACAGGGCCCCCTGAGGTTTACTCCAGGGCTCCCAGGGAGGGACACAACTGGCTTTCTCCCGCCCAGGAGCCCCGAGGTGTCTGGGAAGACGTGGAGCACCAATCACAGAGCCAGGGCTGGGGTGGACAGGCAGGAGGGAGGAAGGGAACCCGCTGGGGAGGCAGGGACAGGCGCCAAGCATCTCCCCCAACCCCAAGACCACTCACAGCTACAACCAACAGGGCAGGCTTGCCTAGGGCCCTTTCAACAGTAACATTTTCTCAAAAACAAACAAAAAAAATACTGATTTGGTCATTTTTCTGCTTCCAGTCAGGCCAGGGGCCAGGGGAAGGAATGAGGTGGGAGAGAGGCCCCTCCCCTTCCACAATGTGCAGGAGCGACCTGCCAGTGCCACCTAGCTAGCTTTGAGTCAAAGAGCCAAGCCTGAACGCTGCAGGATGGGACAGACTGCCTTCCAGTCATGATCCAGAAAAAACGCTTGTGGGCAAGGCAGGCCATGCCCGGCTTCAGTCCCGCCAAAAGGCTCGCCTCTGGATGCTGGGGCCAAAGTAGGCGCACCAGAGAGGGGTGGGGCGTGGGAGTAGGGACTTCCAGTTACAAGCTCAGGGTAGCTCCTTAGGCCCTGTAGCTTCTCCTAGGCCACTTCCTGGGGGAAATAAGGCTCAGAGTTGACTGAGGTCAGAAGAAAGGTGCCAGAGTGCCCCATGGAAAGAAGGGGACAGAGGGAACCAGAGTCCCTCCCGGGGACAGTCTGCAGCCACCGACCCATGGGGAGCAGAGAGTTAGGGAAAATGGGGTCCACAGAGGGCGGAGGGCAAGGGCACCGTTTTCTCTCGGGTTTCCAGTTTGAAAGGCAAGGAGGGGGCTTGCCACCTGCTGCAGGGCCACCCGGTGGGTAAGGATAACAAGAGGGACGAGTGAGAGCAAGTGGCCTGCAGAGGGCAGGCGGCCCTAGTACTCCCAGAGCGAGGCGGGGTCGATAGTCTCCGCGCAGGCCTTCAGGACCCCGGCGTGGTCCCCCTTCAGGTAGCGGCCGCCCACCTTGAGAGCCACCTTATTGTAGTCACAGAACTCGAGGAAGAAATCCACAGGCGTGTCGCTGCTGCTGGTGACGGAGGAGTCACTACCCACCGTCCAGTACTTGCCCGTGGAGTCTGGGGAGGGAGACTGCATGTCAACCCCACCTAGTCAGTCCCCGAAAGGATTAACCTCCCTCCCACTGTCAACTTCCAGACCTCAGTGGGCTCAGCTGCATGTGGGGCACAGTCCTGTAATCCAAAAACTCACAAAACTGAGGCAGGAGGATTACCAAGATTCAAGGCCATTCTGGGACGTTTACTGACATGTCATCTCAAACTACAAAATAGAAGAGGGCTAGGGCTAGGCATGGTGGCACACGTCTTTAAATCCAATATTTGGGATGCAGAGACATGGTACATCTCTGAATGTAAGGGCAACCTGGTCTACAAAGCAAGTTCTGGGACAGCTAGGGGCACAATAAAACAAAACAAACAAACAAAAAGAGCCCCCAGTGAGGGGCTGGGGTGTGGCTCAGTGGTAGAGCCCCTGCCTA